CTTATATAATAAAAAGTCCATACAAACTATTAATAATAACAGTTTTGGTCTTTATAATGAAATAACATGCACTAACAGAGATTGAGAAATTCATCAACTGTTTAGCTCTTTTATGAGAAAACATGCAACTCAACAAACCCGAGACCAATACACATAAATCAGTCTAATCGACAAACTGAATCAATATATCAGGGCAACCAGCCAGATATGTAGTTGTTACTCACGCTTGGCCCCGCTGTTGCAACTGCTATTGGATCGTTCGGGTACCTGCAAATTTCCATATAAAATTTTAATTCACCCGAAAAGTTGTTAATTTCCTAAGCTAAGCGCTCCACCGATGTAGGCATTAGAAAAGAGAGGAAAAAGCAGAAGTTGAACTAATGTTTATACAAATAATACCTGAGCAATGGATAAGTAATAATTATGAGCAAGTGTGTATATTTATTTATGATGATCTATAATTATGTAGAAAAGGAATAATTACCCGATTTGTAGTGTGGGTTCACCACAGTCGAGGGGATGAAAAAAGCCATCAGGCTGAGGTTGTTGCCTCCCATACCCAACATGATGATCTTGAGCATTTGGGTTCCATTGCAGACTTATTTGGCTTCCTTCTATCAACTGCATGCACAGTTGCACACACACCACCATTATTAGTAACTCAACAAATGTTGTACAAAACTTATAAATAATTTACTAATTAATGTTCTATGTAATCAGAAATAATCCTTCAGTATATATCTCAATATTTAATAACCAGAGGACTTAAAACAGTATAACGGCAGGCATGCTGTTAGTGAGCGCAGAATATATCGGATTGTAAAGAATTCCAATTGGCTTCCTTGAAACTGTTAAACAATCGATTCAATTTTGTTTTCCCAATAATTTGGCTATGCGAAAATAAATAGAATTAATAAAAAGAAGCAAAATATATACGTGCATACCCGTTGTTTCAAACTTCTGTTAGCTTCATTGAGGGCATGCTCCTAAGATCATAGAAAAAGTGAACCATGTGGAAAAGAAGTATTAAAATGTGATACAAATTATAAAGAGAAACATTTTATACTTACCTTGCGCTGAAGATCCGTGAGGGTATCCAGCATTGCTTGGGTCTGCAATATGCAAATATTGAAATCAACGTGGATTGTGCATTACTACGTACAATGACTATCAAACGAGAAATGAGTTTGGTGCAGTTCAAATCATGCTACATTTAACATCCACATTCAAACTGGAGAGCAAAGTCTTCGGTTTTGAATCATTCATTATACCTTCCCTCCACATGTTTTATGAAAAACTAAAATATAATTAATGGCATAAAATTTCATTATTAAAGAAACTACTTCACCTCAAAATACCGGTGCCGTTATTATCATTTCTCATGATAAGCACATTTTGATCTCAAATCATCTTGTTATTATTTAAATTGTCATCAGTGCAGACCTGATATGATCTCTAGTTCACCACATTAGCCAAATATGATATGATCTTCAGTTCATCACATCAGCCAAATATCAGAACATATTTGCAAATGACACATATGTCATGTCATTCAGCTAAAACAAATGCACACGTTGCAATATTAATTTGCCACATAAAAAAGTCTCATTCTTCAAAGAATGAGATGTAACAGACAGATGAACAACTATGACAAACAAATATGCAATATTCTCCAAATGAAGTATTTCTTGATTTGCCATTATTGTTCGCAACATTGACTGATTAAATGGAAGTACCCGTGTTGATCTGATCTGCTTAAGTGACATATCAAGCTGTCGTTCAAGTGATTCAAGCTCCTTGCTGTTCAAAGGACCAAGATCCTCCCCAAGTAGGTTTCTGGATAAAAACACATACATGCACCCAAATGGATCAGCCGTACTAGTTATTTGGCATGAATAGATGTCATATTTTCATTCCATTTCAATATTAATACTTCAAAAGTTTGTAGTTATATCTATCTACAAACCTTTGTGTGCGCTGTAGGGCTTCGTAGCGTGCTTTCAACTTTATATACTCCTGCTGACTGCTCAACTCCTGTATATGTATATAACCATCACATCAACATTCAACATCAACATACCCAGTATATTCCCAACAGATTGGGGTATGGTGGGTCAGTTGTACGCAGACCTTACCCTTGTAATTATACAAGGAGGCTGTTTCCATAGCGACCCAAGGTGCGTTGCGTCGTTTGATATATTTTTTCTAGAAACTTCACTAATAGAAGAAGCACTATAATTTAATTGAGCCATTTTGATCTAGTCCATTATTAGCACTATGCCAGGAGAATTGTCAACAATGACTCTTCCAACTCTATATGCAATGGACATTCCATGACATCAACATTAATACTTAAAAAATATATTATATATGGATTACTCAGCTGCTTTAGTTCAATCTACAGTAATTAAGAAATGTATACCCTTGACCCGGTTCTCATTATATATTTTTTTCTAACTCATCCTAAAATGACTCCTATGACAAGTATTCTATCTTGTGTACATATCTTTTGCTCGTGATTATTTAAAAAGTTGCTCATTCAGAGAAATTTATGAAGGCATTGCATTGGAATATGACTAGTATATTATACAGACCTATTACATCTACTTTGATTTTCAGTAGAACTCTCTTTTTTTTTTCTTTTTTTTTTTTTGGGCCACAGCAATCAAAATGTGTTGTTGAGTAAAGCTTCTTCAGGTGCTCAATTGAACTGTGACTAGAATAGACTTCATAGAATACATAGCAAAATGCTTATAAATTGATTGAGCTGAGGAAACTATATTATTAATGATGATATAATACTCTCTTTGATACTTGCTAGTTAATTTTTATGTATTGACTGTTAACATCGGTCGCGAAACAAAACTACTATAAGAATAAACATTGATAGAAATGTTATTTTTCAAGAAATAACGAAGAGAATAAAAGGAAAAACCATATTTGCTCGATTTTAGTTAACATGATTGGCGTATATTGGCTAAGGCAGATATTCCAAAATGTGAGAATATAAGTTCTTTTGTTTTGAACTTATATGGTATTTGGTTCAGAAAAATACCAGTGCCTCCCTTGTGGAGATATTCGGCTCAGGTGCTCCATAGTTGCATTTCTGATACCTCTCCAGTGTTTTTAGCATGCTGCTACAGTTACACAAGCCTTGCACTTGAGTAAGTCTCAGAAAATATAAAATATATATGACACCAAATAATTAATTAAAACTAAAAGACCTGATTGTGCAATAACAATTATCTTGAGAAGTGCCAATTTTTGCCAAGTCGTGTCAGGAAAATAAATAAAAGAACTCAGTTGGGAAGTACAAAAGAGAGCCTAAAAAATCCTTGAGATAATTGAAGATATCTCAATTTCAGAGTATAATGTAAATCCTACAATATTATCCAGTAGTAATTGTGTAGCACCACTATTGGTGATTTTCAGTATTAACTCAACTAGCAGATAATAATAAACCTTAATTAGAACAAAAATGGAGAATTAATTAAAAGGCTCTCTTGTAACTACTGGATACAAGATTGCTTTAGATGAAACAACACTCAAAGCCTGAATGAAAGAGTCAAATCGGAAAAGATCTGAGAGGAAAATGTAAGGAATACAAATCTAACACACAGTAAAAAAGGGTAAAGAAAACAAAAAAAAATGAAAGAACAAAGCGATAAGGGAGAAAGCTGAGTTTCATTGGAAGTATTTCTCAGTTTGGAGGCACGTCACATAATCATTTTTTTTTTATATTTTAATCAACATAAAAACCAAGCTGGGTTTCTTGTATTAAAAACCAGATCTTGAAGTAATACAAATATAAAATGTTAACTGATACTTGTTCCCATGAAAGAAAAAGAAAAATCCAGCAAAGAGAATGTTAAGAAGTAAACCCTAGATCACGATTTGGGCAAAAAACTGAACCCGAATGCCGGATTACGTTGCAAGAAGTTTCAGAATCAAAAAGAAATTAGGTCAAAAAAAAAAAAAAGAGAAACGAGGACTAAAATGATTTACAAGGCAGCATATATACTGGATCGGACCATTTTTCTCACCTAAATTGGAACCAACAAGAACAAAAATTGATCTTTTGAAAGGAGCAAGAGCAAAGGACAGAAAAGCCAGAAATTCACACAAGGCTGAAACCAACCACTCACAAAGCTCAAACAAATATAGAAATGATCTTCTTTTCATGGTTTCCTCTTGCAGATCTAACAAACCCATCAAGCACAGAGCCCTATACACCACCAAACATTCACCAAAACAGCAAAAAGACTCCAAAAAAAAAAAAATAAGGATGAATATTTTTTCCCTCTTTCCTCCACAACAAAGACTGAATTTTTAGATCCAGCCCAGATCTAAAAAAACAAAACCGGCCACATAAAAACTTGATCAACAAAAAGAAAATCTTGTAGCATAAAGAAAGAAAGATAGGAAGAAAGTGTGAAAAAAGAGCTGCCTTTAAACAATGGAACATACACAGAAATTGCAAGTTGGGATAAGAAGGGAGGTTGTGTTTGTTTGTCTGTTTTATACCTAGAGCTACTGCAAAACTCGTACAGCTTTCCTCTATTGGAGAAGATGATCAAAGCAACCTCAGCATCACAAAGCACAGAAAGCTCATAAGCTTTCTTTAACAGTCCATTCCTTCGTTTCGCAAAAGTGACTTGCCTGTTGATCTTGTTCTCGATTCTCTTCAGTTCAACTCTACCTCTCCCCATCTCTCTCTCTCTCTCTCTCTCTCTCTCTCTCTTTCTCTCTCTTCTCAACAATCACACACACAAAAACTCACTAAAACACAAAATCCTTTCTCTCTCCTTTTTCTGCCTTTTCTCTAATAACCCCTCTTTATATGTAATACAAAGGACAATATATATGCATATGTCAAGTCAGAAAGAGAATAGTAGAAGCACTAGTACTACGTAGTTGTTCTAGTATATTATCAGCATTCGTAAAAAAAAAAAAAAAAAAAAAAAAAAAAAAAAAAAAAAAGATCTATCTTTTATTGAATTAGTTGTTTTTACTGATAATTTTTTACCTTAAAATTTAGGAAAGGATATATTTTTTTTAGGTAGTTTGCCATCATAAGATGTGCAGGAATATGAGGTTAAGAAAGCGGTCAGGTCAGGGGTGATGATGGTATTGAGAGAGGGCGTAACCTTAAAACTCATGGGTTATATCAATGCAAGCTTCCACGCGTCACCACGCTAACCGGTCCCAACTCTTTTTCCTTT